GAGGAAACACCAATATCATGGAGTTTGAGGAAAGAAACAATTATGGCTCTATCCTCTTGTGAGACAGAGTACGTATCAGCATGAAGCATCATGACAGGCTGCATGGTTGAGCTCTCTTATGAAAAAATTGGGGGTTGAATCGAGAAGAAAAGTCAGATTACTAGTAGACAATAAATCTGCTATCAATTTGGCTCATCATCCAGCAGCATGGGAGAAGTAAACATATTGAAACTATGTTTCATTATATAAGAGAGCAAGTCAACAATGGTAGCTTGGAAGTAGAGTATTGTTATTCAGACAAGCAATTGGCAGATGTGTTCACGAAACCTCCAAAGCGTAAACGTTTTGTGCAGCTTAGGAAGTGATATGAATCACAAGGGGGTAATTTAGGATCTTTAGGGTTAAAACATTGTAAGAAATTTAGGAATTAGAAAGAAGGTGGAAGGAAAGAATCACTCTTCCCAAGGGAGGCAACACACAAAGGATGTGACAGTCCTTTGATACAGCCAAGGGTTCTTGAATCACTCAAGAATTTAGGATAATCACTCTCACTAAGATAAAAGAGATAAACTCTAATATTTCGAATAAAATTTCACTTGTTATTTCTTGATAAGAATGGTTCGAGTGATATAGAAGCGTTGTCATCGGAATTACAAAAGACTCAATAAAAGAAAATAAATACTAATAATAACTTATTAATCTAGGAATTGAAAACTATTTAATGGAAACAAATAAAGGCTAATAATGATCCATTAACCTAGGAATTGAAACTACTTAATGACTGATTGTATCTGAAACTGTGGCAACCAAAAGTCAATCAGATATGCACCCCTTGGTCTCCCAAAGGCTGATGACTAAATTTTCAATTGGGTCCTTATTACAACTTAAAACAAAATCAAACTAAAGCCCATTAATTAATCAAAACACAATTTGGTCAACCAACAATACTTGTTGAAGAGCTTCCTTTGTTTCCCTTGCTCTAGCCCTTATCATAGGTCATGTTCACATCATTCTCTCCCTCTTGAAAAGGATTTGTCCTCAAATCGGATTCATCATCTACATTAAAAAGAGATAAGTCTGACAAATTAAATGTAGAACAAACAGTATACTCACTTTTTATGGCTAAATAGCTTTGTTTCACTTTAAGTGTTTCACTCTTCTTTTGATCACTTTTTTTCCTCTCAAGTGTTTCACTAACGCTTTCTTTCTCTCTCTTTTCTTGAAGAAGTTTTTCTTTCATTTTCTTTTTATCCTTACATACTTCTTATGGACTCAAAGGTTTGAACACAATCTTCTTGTCTTGGTGTATGAAAGAAATCTTGTTGGTGAACCCGTTATGATTAACCCTTTTATCAAATTGTCATGGTCTCCCCAAAAGTAAATGACTGACTTCCATAGGAATAATATCACAAAGCACCTTATCATTGTATTTTCCAATGGAAATGTCCACTTCAACTTGTTGTCTCACTTGCACCTCTCCATCCTTACTAAGCCATTGGAGTTTATATGGCCTAGGGTGTGGTTTGGTAGCTAAATTTAGCTTTGATACTAATCTAGCACTAGCCACATTGGTGCAACTACCTCCATCTATGATCATCATGCACACCTTGTCATTGATTAAACATCTAGTGTGAAAAATATTTTTTCTTTGGTTTTCTTCCATAGGTTTCAATTGACTATCAAGTAATCGCCTAATCATCAATAAATCTCCCTTTGAAATCTCTTCCTCTTCCTCAGTGTCTTCACTCTTTTCTCCCTCTTCAACCTCAGATTCACTTATATATTCTCCCTCTCTAAGAATCATGGTCTTTGTGTTAGAGCACTCATAAGCATAGTATCCTAGGCCTTGACACTTGAAACACTTCACATCTCTACTTTTTTTAGAGGGTTGTTCTTCATATTTTGAATGAGTCTTTGTAGGAATAGGTGTGGAACTACTAGAAGTAACAGTCCCATCTTTTTTGCCTTTGTCCTTCCAACTTGAAAATCCAAAGTTGGTAGAACTCTTCTTAGTCACTTCTTTTCTTTTGAGTTGTTGCTCCACTCGAATTGCTTTATGAAGTAAATCCTCCATATCAACAAACTCCTACAACTCAACAATATCACATATATCAATATTCAAACCACCAATAAATCGGGTCATAGTTACCTCTTCATCTTCTTCAATCTTTGCTTTAATCATGAGCATGTCTATTTCTTTGAAATACTCCTCAACCCCTTTGTTACCTTGAGTAAGTTTTTGGAGTTTAAATTTCAAGTCCCTTGCATAACTAGCCGGCACATATTGCTTCCTCATGATCCTTTTCATCTCAGTCCATGTATTAACCATTGGCTCTTTATTTCTATCTCTCTCCTTTTGTAGCTTGTTCCACCAAACAAGAGCATAGTCAGAAAATTCTGTTGTTGCAAGCCTCACCTTTTGGGTCTCCTCATAATTGTTGCATGAGAAAACATGCTCTATTTTCATCTCCCACTCCAAGTATGCTTCTGGATCACTTTTTCCTTTGAACGGAGGAATGTTAAGCTTGACTCCTTCAAGCCTACTTGGTCTTGTTACTCCATCATTCATTCTCCTATTTCTCCTTTCTTCTTCGTCTTCAGAATTTCTATTCTCCAACCGGTTCAATCTTTCATGGAGCTCATTGTTATGTCGTATCATTAATCCTTCCAAATGTTGTACCAATACTCTCATTTGAATTGGATTAATTCCTGCTTCTTGATTGTAATTTTTCTCTTCTGCTATCAATTTGATGTTTAAACCCTTAAACCGGAGCTCTGAATACCAAATGATATGAATCACAAGGGGGTAATTTAGGATCTTTAGGGTTAAAACATTGTAAGAAATTTAGGAATTAGAAAAAAGGTGGAAGGAAAGAATCACTCTTCCCAAGGGAGGCAACACACAAAGGATGTGACAGTCCTTTGATACAACCAAGGGTTCTTGAATCACTCAAGAATTTAGGAGAATCACTCTCACTAAGATAAAAGAGATAAACTCTAATATTTCTGAATAAAATTTCACTTGTTATTTCTTGATAAGAATGGTTCAGCTGATATAGAAGCGTTGTCATCAGAATTACAAAAGACTCAATAAAAGAAAATAAATACTAATAATAACTCATTAATCTAGGAATTGAAAACTATTTAATGGAAACAAATAAAAGCTAATAATGATCCATTAACCTAGGAATTGAAACTACTTAATGACTGATTGTATCTGAAACTGTGGCAACCAAAAGTCAATCAGCTATGCACCCTTTGGTCTCCCAAAGGCTGATGACTAAATTTTCAATTGGGTCCTTATTACAACTTAAAACAAAATCAAACTAAAGCTCATTAATTAATCAAAACACAATTTGGTCAACCAACAATACTTGTTGAAGAGCTTCCTTTGTTTCCCTTGCTCTAGCCCTTATCATAGGTCATGTTCACGTCAGGAAGTGTATTGGTGTTAGGAAGTCATAAATATTAGAATATTTGACTTAGGGAGGAGTGTTGACATTTTTGTAATTAAGTCAAATATGGTTTCATGAAGTATTATTAGAAAACGTTTGTTTCTTCATATTTTTGTTAAGTTACTTCTTTTAGATATTTTTCTCTTCTCGTATCTCTTATAAAATGTATCACTGCTCCACTTTGATTAACAAGAGAGAAGCTAGTATTATGCATCCTATCTTCAACATTTAGTTTCCTTATATTAATCACTTCAATTCATACATTTTACGAACATATAGAGAGATGTGAATGGCAAAGGATTCAGCTGAGAGCTGCCAAAATGAAATGTTAAAAGGTAATATATATGGGAAGGATATGGAGAGAAAAGATGAACGCAGAAATGAAGATTGGTGGAGGAGTGGTCGCTCAACAGGAGCCTCCACCTGCCTCCTTCCACTGCCATTGTTATTGTTAGGGATTTACACCATATGTTGAATTTTAAAAGAAATTCATTATTTCAAAACTTTTTTTAAAATTGGATTATACGACAGGTTAGGAAAATGTTTGCCAACATAAGTGGGGTAAAGCGATTTTAAGTCAAGATTGGGTTTACTCTTAAAATTAAGAAGGTTAAACAGTGTTTATGCAAATAAATAAAAATCAGAATATAAAGTTTATACTAAAATGTTGTTTTTTTATTAATTAAAAATACTAAACTATAGAATATTTATTAAAAAAAAAAATCCTTTCTTTACAACGCCCATTCCCACTTATAACTTTCAACATGTATATTCACTCCGGTAGACAAGTAGAAATAACTTACGTCACAAAATTCAGATACTATTTACTCTCTGGACTAAAAATTGATATATATTATTCACATTTTTAACAACACTTAATTTTTTTTTCTTTTATTATCTCTTGGTTAATTTAATCATATTATAATATCTCACATTTTTTTTCTCTTTTCGTATCTCTTTTGTCGCAATTAGTTATTTGTATAAATTATAACTTCTCCTTAAATATGATCAAGTTTTCTTAGATAAAGTTATGATTATGATTGTCAACATGGTCAGCACGTGTGTCTTAGTGAGGAAATTCTTCTCACAATTTCATAAGAGCGAAAGTCAAAGTCTGGTTGAAATGTTGGGTGGTAGACAAAAGAACAAAAATAAAGAGTATTGAATTATAATTTTACCATAAATGAAATTCCAGTTATTAATTGGTATTTAACAAATGAAAAACTGGAGACCAAGAGTAGTAATTAAAAGTACAAAGTCATGTAAATGAAAAAATGTCTCATAAATTTTAACAAAGGATACAAGTCCACGTTCCATAGTGTCATGCACCAGTAATGATATGATTCATATATGCCATTAATCATGTATGTGATTTTGCTTTCAAATGTTTTTTTTTTTTACAAGCATGTACATGATTAACAAATAAACCTTCCTACATTAATTATACCTCAAGAAGTGTTTGTTATTCCCCCTTAATTCCCTATTTGCATGCAAAACTGAAAAGAAGAAAAAAGAGGAAGCCCATAGAGGATTTTGTTAATTAGCTTATGAAGCTCTCCACTGTAGCTCTATCTGGATACGACCATTCTTGGAGTCTATAAGATGGTGCCTCTCGTTGATTCTATTGTTCGCAACAACGTCCGCGAGACTAATGTTTGCATAACCCAAAGATTCCTAGTGTCCAAACAAAAACACACAATAAAACTCTTCTTAATTTTAATAACGATGAAGGTGTTAATTACGTTACGTACCTTTTGACGTAGAAGGCTTCGTGACGAAGTGCTAACAACTTCCACATGTATTTTATCATTTGTGGGAGGCTCATCCACCAAAAACTGGAACTCTTCTTCCCACCTTGGATCTCTGTTTTTTTTAATGATCTATAAATTGCAATAAGTATTTGTTAATATCATATCCGAGTTGACTGAAACATATGTATTTTCTAGTTAAACCATATTTTTTACCTTGGTCCTTCTCTCTTCTCCTTTGAAAATAAGACGCACATGTGGATTAGTATGGTACTTTCCTTCCACATCTTGAGCTTCATGGATTATAACTACAAGTAAACCTCCACCAGGAGGAGTTCCTTCAGGAGGCTTTTGTACTGTTTGAGCCCGCTCAAAAGTTTTAGCCAACTCTTCCTTTCTAAATGGTTTATATGTCAATTCCATAATAATTTGGCCACGAGACTTTTCATTTTGAGCATCCTTTGGATTCATGTTTTTCAAAAGTTCAAGAGTAAAAACTTTGGGTTCTTCAGGTTGAAGTCCTTTCAAAGGAATCATATTCATACCCATCTTGTCATGTTTCCCAACCTAATATATTCAATCCAAATGCATATTTAGAAACTATAATATCAAGCTCTTAGTGTAATAGACATAGAGACCAAACCTGTTCCCAGTCAAACACTTCAAACTCTAAAGCTTGGGTCTCAGGATCTTTAACAACTAGACTAAATTCCTCGTTCCATTCAGGATTCAAGTTCTTGTGCTTCACAGTAGTCTTTTTCGATGTCAACTTATCTTCGGTAAGTGTTAATTGCACATAAGGATCGGATGCACCAAGAAGATCTTTCTTCTTTAACTTCATTGCTCTTATAACCTTTGCATTTAAAATTCCAATAGGCTTCTTCATAGCTCTAAAATCCCAACAAAGTTGTTTTGAGAAAAAAAATAAATCAAATAGCTGAAAATTTATCACTTAACATAAGACAAAATATTTGGATGATTCTTAAACATACTTCATTGGATCTATAACTTGAATTTCTAAGGTTTTTGGCCATAGATACATATTTGCAACTTGATCTTTGATCAACTCCTGAAAACAACAATCTTTAAAGTTGTTTAAAAGTCATAAATCTTGTAATCAACTTGTAATAACTAAACATAATAAATAAACACAAGATGGAACTGTCACAGTATATACCACTTTAATATTCTAAAAAAGCATTCTTAATTTGTTTTCAAATAAATATACCCTAAACAACAAATTATCCATCCTTTAAACCGCACCACATTTTTTCTTTCGAATTCATATGAAATATAATCGTCAATTTTTAATATGCTTAATTATTATTATAAAAAATAATAATTATTTAATTTTTACAACCGAAGGCTTTATATTATAAAGTGGAAAACTGTTCTTACTCTAAAAATTCAAGATGGATATAATCAACTTGAACTCAACTACTAAATTTGGGAAAAATAATGAAACCAAAATAATAAATATAAGGATGATGTACCTGAACAAATTTGTAAAGTACAGGAATAGACATAAGATCAGCCCCTACAAGCTTTAGCCCAAAGTCAACATGTGGCTACATGATGAAAATGCCGAAGCAAAAGGGAAAAAAGGTGTCATTTATAAAAGAATAAATGACCTAAAATGTTGGAGATCAATCATGAATATCCAATACAAACCTTTTCCATGAGAGACACGTAAATATTGGCAAAGCATGGAAAACTTGGAACCAGAGGCTTCAAAGTAATGCGAGGTAGAAGAAAAACTTGCAGATCCAGCACCTGGAGAAATGAAAAAGTAATAGAATTAAGAAACATCTAGCTTCCACTCAAATTAAGAAACAAACACAGTCAAATATTCACCTGAATGGTTGCTTTAAACCCAAATTTCTTAACAGCTACAGTGACATTAGGATTTCCTGCCCATTTTACAGCAATCTCCATTATTAACTCTTTCTCTTCAGTCTCGTAAACTTTCATTCCTATTCAGAATAAATTATGCATTCAAAGAGATACATGAGAAAAATCATATAATTAATATCGTCTGAGCTATTTAGAGATAAATAATTTGCCTAAAACAACACAAATTTTGTTAGAAGAAATGAAATACCACTAAAAAAAATTATTGACAAAATAAAGTAATTTTTAGGATGATTTTGATTAGTAAATCCAATAGATTAAATTTTTTTATGAAAACTTTAGTATCATTGGCGGATAGAGAGGTCATGCCCCAATCTTTTCTACATTAATATATTTATGATTTTTATCCTTAAATTAATAATTATTAAATAATCTTAACAAAAATAATTAAGTTAATAATTTTAAAATTATAAATCGGAAATGAAATTAGATATACAAGATTGAGTTGATTGTAACATTTTTTTAAAAGATGTTTTATCTTTAGAAAAAAATAATTGTAAAATGTGATTTAATAAAAAGGGTGAAATTTAATATTAGCATGGGTTAGATATAGTAATAATTTGTTGAGTATTTGCACAAACTAAACTAACCTTGAAAAGTTGGCGGCAAGGACCCTAGTGTTAGCTCTTCAAACTCAACAGCATCAATTTTATATTGTGGTATTTGTTCATCAATTATAGGTTTTGCAATTGTTCTTGCTGTCTTGCATATTGCCTAAAGACCACATGCTCAAACAATCATATCAACTATATGCTAATGGTTGAAGGTCAAGAAACATATCTCACAAAAAAAAAATATATATATATACCTTTTCCAGGTATGGCCACATATATTCAACAAGTTTGTTAAGCCAATCAACCTGCAACAAAAACACCAATAAAAAGACTCATAGTGCCCATAACAAAGACATGTAATGAATTGCTTACCCGATCAAAGTCTGGATTCTTTATCCAAAGTGGTATTTCAGGAAACATTCGTTGTATATCTTCTGAATCTTCATCTACCAATGGTTTAATTTCAGGATCCTATCCAATCCCACCATGCATCAGTGCAAAACTTAAACAATTCTACAATTTTTCCTTTCAAAAATTTCTTTCTCTACATTTCCATCGGACATAAGGAAAAAACACTATCATATATAATCCTCATTTACAAAAACTCACAAGAAAGCTTTGCCTAGCTCTTAGAACAAACAAAATCATGTTTAAACATGCATCTAAAAGAAAGAAGTTCATGAGTATAAGAAAATTATGTTGAAACCCGTGCAATGTAATGTAATTCTCACCTCAACAACACTGGGTTGAACATAGATAAAGAGATAATATCCAATAGCCAAACCCATGGAAATTCCAAATCCAAAGCCAAAAAAACCAAATATGGTGCCGAAGAAACCCATCTCAATTGTCAAAATTGCTTTGATCTCAATCTCTCCAATTCTTTGTCTTTCTTTTCCCTCTGCTAAAAGTAAAATAATCTCACGAAAACACCACTACCAATGTCCTTCAGCTCTCCTCGGATCACCATTCCTATGTTCAAACCTTTTTTTACCCGACAAAGATACTATTTTTACTAAATAAATCAAATCAAATCATAATTACAAATATTAATAAAGATTCAACACAAATAAATACACTACTTTTTATTCCTTACCATCACATCTATTTATCCGTGACAATATATATTTGGAAAATAAAACGAACAATAAATTTATTTCTCTCTCTCTCTCTCTCTCTCTCTCTCTCTCTCTCTCTCTCTATATATATATATATATATATATATATATATATATATATATATATATATATATTATGGAAATTTTTTCAACTCTTAATTTTGAGTCTAGTAGATCACGTGGCAGATGAGGATATTGAGATTCACTTTCTTTTATTTTTATTCTATATTATAAAGCTTGTTTTCATTACTTTTTTTATCTATAAGTTAAATCGCATAACTAGTTTACTCATATATCATGAATAAAACTAATAAAATAGTAAATAATTTACAAATAATTTATTTAAATGTTGATGGAATAAAAGAGACCTATAACTATTCTGACATAATCTAATTGATGAATTTTGTCGGTAACATGATTAATAAACGAACGGTGTGTAATTATTTCATACGTTATAACATTTAAACTTGAATTATTTTCTTTAATTTGTACAAATATTGCATGTACTTTCTAAAACAAAAATGAAAACACCACAAGAGAGTTAGGAAGTTCTTTTTTTCGTCTTATATTTGATTTTAGACAATAATAGCATAGTTTATCACTTTTGCGTTAATTAAATACCATTTAAAAAATAAATAAAACATGAATAAATTTTAATTTATTAAATATGTTAACCATGTTAAAATTTAATATGATATGTTATTTACTTATATAATACGTGTAAATAAAACAATAATATATATAAAACTATTTAAATTTGACTAACTATTTTTATTATTATTTTTGTGTGTCTATAATTAATAATTTTTAATTATATCAGTCTTAATAATGTGATATTGTTAAATTTCAAATTAACCATTATACAATTTAGATTAAACACCCTATATAAAATATCTATTATTTCAATTATTATTATTGTTCTTCGATTTTAATTTAATTTCAATATTTATTTATATTTTATAGTTATTAATCTACAATGTCTAAAAAAATATATATCTTATGATATAATTATCATGTATTTTTATCTATTTTTTAATTTTTGTTACATTTATAATTAATATATATTTATCAAATATTTAAATTTAATTTTATTTATGTACATATATTATTAAACAAATATAAATATAAAAATATTATTTTAATGAATCTGTACATGTAATAAATTCAGAAAGTAGCTAAAAGAAAAAGAGGTAAAAAATAAGGTGAGAAAATTTTAAGTTTATTGCAAGAGACTAAACTTAATTTACGATAGATGATAAAATAAGAATAAAATTTGAGTAATATATGTATTTATTTATTTATTAAAATTCTGAATGAAATGAAAACGACGCGGAGAGAACAGAGGGAAGCAAGTTCTCACACACTGTTTTAGAGTGACGAGTGGGATCACCATGCCCTTGCCCCTGCCCTTGCCCTTGCCCCTGCCCTTGCCCCTGCCCATGCCCATGCCCATGCCCATGCCCATGCCCAAAGAAAGTTACGTATAAAAGGCGTATTTCTGTTCTGCGCTCTCCTTGTTTGTTCCTTTTTTTTTATTCCCATCGTCTGCACCTTACCTTAGGGTTTTCATGCAACAAATTCCTCTATCTGTTGTACACTAAACGCAATACATTGCACGCACTCAAGATTCTCAATTACCATTTCCCAATTCGCTACACTCTTTCTCCAATATCTCATTCCGGTAAAATTAATTTAAGGCGGTTTCGTATTCGTACGACCACCGATTCGGGACTTTTCTTGGATTTAGGGTTTTCGCCGATTTAATATAATCTTTATCCCAGAGAGCACAGATGCAAGGATTTAATGGATCGGTGAGAGGTCAGACAAACTGAAAGGGTGAGTCTGGGTTTTGTATGGAAACTCGGAGTCGGAAGCGGGCGGAGGCTTCCTCAGCTGCCCCTTCATCCTCTTCCACCACTCGTTCCGCCAAGCGCTCTCGTCTTTCTTCTTCGATCCCAAACACCCCATCTGTTAATACCCGTTCTCGTTCGGTCAGGACTAACACCACCACCACCAACAACAACTCCGTTTCTCTCATGGACCCCACCATTGAATCCTCCGGGTCAAGACGTGATCGCCGCGGCAAGAATTTGGAAAGGGACAATTCGGACAAAGGGAAGGAGAAGGAACAGGATGTTAGGATTAGGGATGTTGAAAGAGAGCGAGCTTTGGCGTTGAACATGGAGAGTGAAGGTGTCGGGGACGACGATGATAATGATAGTGAGGGTGGTTTGCATCAGAATTTAACGTCTGCTAGTAGTGCCCTTCAAGGGCTTCTTCGTAGACTTGGTGCTGGTTTGGATGATCTGCTTCCTGCCACGGCTATGGGTGGTTCTGCGTCCTCTTCTTATCAGAGTGGTAGACTCAAGAAAATTCTGGCTGGATTGCGTGCTGACGGAGAAGAAGCTCGTCAGCTCGAGGCATTATCGCAGCTTTGTGACATGCTTTCCATTGGCACCGAAGAATCCCTTAGTACATTTTCGGTTGACTCGTTTGTTCCTGTGCTAGTTGGGTTGCTTAATCATGAGAGCAATCCCGATGTTATGCTACTTGCGGCCAGGGCGCTAACTCACTTATGTGACGTTCTTCCCTCATCCTGTGCTGCGGTTGTGCATTATGGTGCAGTGTCTATCTTCTGTGCAAGACTGCTTACGATAGAGTATATGGACTTGGCTGAGCAGGTTGTTTCTCAGTCAATCTCTTTTCTGCCTTTGGTTTATGTATCAGGAATCTAGAATAAATGTTCCGATGCTATACGTTGAATTATTTTTAGAAATATGTCTTACCTTGTATGAGATTCCTTAACCTTAGGTTTGTTTCTTTCTGTCTTAGGGCTATGCATTTGTTTAATTATGTTTGAAAATGGGCTGCTTTAACGAGGTTCTTTTTCTTTGATGCACTTTGCGGCTGTCTACATTAAATTCTAATAGATGTGATTGTTCATATTAACAGTCTCTTCAAGCGCTAAAGAAGATTTCACAGGAGCACCCAACTACCTGTCTTCGAGCTGGAGCTCTGATGGCTGTTCTTTCTTACTTGGACTTCTTCTCAACGGGAGTTCAGGTAACGCATCAATGAAATCCTTACATACAAGGATGCTTATAATTTTCAAGGGGTGATGATTCATTTGCATTTACTACCCTTAATCAACAAGCCTATATTTACATGATCATATTTTTCAGCGGGTAGCATTGTCCACTGCTGCAAATATGTGCAAGAAGCTTCCACCTGATGCAGCTGATTTTGTAATGGAAGCAGTTCCTCTTTTGACAAACCTTCTTCAGTACCATGACTCCAAGGTAAGGCCGTTTTGTTGTTGTTATAGTTGTCATTAAATGGAATTTGCACTTTCTTTGTCACGCCCTATTTTTAAGAAGCTCTTACTTGAGTAAATAATCATCCTACAAGCGATCTTATCAATTATCTAATTATATCTAAACAATATTCAATTCTAATAATTCTAGGTACTGGAGCATGCCTCTATTTGTCTGACTCGAATTGCTGAAGCATTTGCATCATCTCCTGACAAATTAGATGAATTGTGCAATCATGGACTTGTTACGCAAGCTGCCTCTCTCATTTCTACCAGCAGTTCTGGAGGTGGACAGGCTTCTCTCAGCACCCCTACATATACTGTGAGCTTGATCTTTGCCGCAAAATCTCATATTTTCACCTTTGGTTGGCTGTTCCTTTGACATCTTTGGTGCATGCAGGGTCTGATCCGCCTTCTTTCCACATGTGCCAGTGGATCCCCTCTTGGAGCCAAAACACTACTTCTCCTTGGAATTAGTGGCATTCTTAAAGATATACTATCCGGTTCTGGTGTTTCTTCTAACAACTCTGTTTCACCTGCATTAAGTAGGCCTGCAGATCAGGTATAATGTACTTTGGAGTTCTTTTGCTCTATTACATATATTTTATTTTATCTCCCTATGGTTCATTTTCAATGATTGCCGGTGATATCATCATTTAAATTCTTTAAAACTTTTCAGTTCTCTTTTAATGAAAGATGAATTTATCCCATTCTCTTTTCTAATATTTAGATATTTGAGATTGTGAATCTGGCAAATGAACTTCTGCCCCCGTTGCCACATGGAACCATTTCCCTTTCTGTCAGCTCCAACTTGTTTGTGAAAGGTTCTTTTGTGAAGAAACCTCCTTCTGGCAGTTCTGGACAAGAAGACACCAGCAATGGAAATGTTCAGGAGATGTCAGCTCGTGAGAAATTATTAAGCGATCAGCCTGAGTTACTTCAGCAATTTGGGATGGATCTCCTCCCAGTTTTAATTCAGGTTAAATGCTTAAATTTATGACATTCTAAAATTATATTTTGTAAATTATTTATAAATTTTTAAATAGCTGGCTCTATTTTTATGTCCTTTAATTCTTCATTCCTCTATCCTGCAAACTAATATTTTTGCTCTGCTTTTGAAATAGATATATGGTGCTAGCGTCAATGGTCCAGTTCGCCATAAATGTCTTTCTGTCATTGGAAAATTGATGTATTTCAGCACTGCTGATATGATCCAGTCTTTGTTGAGTGTAACAAATATATCAAGGTATCTAGAACTTCAATTGGGTTGCTCTTACTCTATGTTCTCTGTAGAAAACTTATCCATTGTCACTTTGATGATATAGTTTCTTAGCTGGTGTGTTAGCCTGGAAAGATCCGCATGTTTTGGTACCTGCCTTGCAAATTTCAGAAATTCTTATGGAAAAGCTTCCTGAAACTTTTGCTAAGATGTTTGTCAGAGAAGGTGTGGTCCATGCGGTTGACCAACTTATTTTGGCTGGAAATTCAACCAATATACCTACACAAACATCATCTGCTGAGAAGGATAGTGATTCTGTATCTGGAACTTCTTCTCGCCCCAGACGCTATCGCCTGCGCAGTGGTAATTCAAATCCTGATGCAAACCCTTTGGATGATTTGAAAAGTCCAGTTCCAGTAAATGTTGGTTTACCACCAAGTTCTGTAGAAACTCCAACAAATAGTTCCAGTGTCCGAGTGTCTATTAGCTCAGTTGCTAGAGGTTTTAAAGACAAGTACTTCCCTTCTGATCCTGGGTCTATTGAAGTGGGTGTTAGTGATGATCTTTTGCATTTGAAAAATCTCTGTGCCAAGTTGAACAGTTGTGTTGATGATCAAAAAACTAAGGCAAAGGGAAAAGTTAAAGCTTCTGGTTTTGGTCTGGACGATAATTCTACTAACATAGAAGAATATTTGATTGGGGTGATATCTGACATGTTAAAGGAACTTGGCAAAGGTGACGGTGTATCTACTTTTGAATTTATTGGTAGTGGTGTTGTTGAAGCCTTGCTGAATTACTTATCTTGTGGGTATTTCGCAAAAGATAGAATGTCAGAAACCAGTCTCCCCAAGCTTCGTCAACAGGCACTAGCTAGGTTCAAGTCATTTGTAGCTATTGCACTACCTTTGAGCATTGATAATGCAGCTGTTGCTCCTATGACTGTCTTGGTTCAGAAGCTTCAAAATGCCTTGTCCTCCTTGGAGCGCTTCCCTGTAATGCTGAGTAATTCATCTCGTTCATCTAGTGGGAGTGCACGTCTTTCCTCTGGGCTAAGTGCATTATCTCATCCCATAAAGCTTCGTCTCTGTCGAGCCCAGGGTGAAAAGTCACTTAGGGATTATTCTTCCAATGTGGTACTGATTGATCCATTAGCAAGTTTAGCAGCCATTGAGGAATTTCTGTGGACTCGTGTCCAGCGTGGTGAATCTGGTCAAAAGTCTACCGTAGCTGCTGACAATTCTGAATCTGGAACAACTGCTGCAGGGGCAGGTGTTTCATCTCCTTTCTCTTATACTCCCTCCACTGCCCGTCGGCATTCAACTAGATCCAGATCATCTGTTAATATAGGAGATACACCTAGAAAAGAACTATCTCAAGATAAAAGCACAAGTTCATCCAAGAGCAAGGGTAAAGCTGTATTAAAGACTGCACAGGAGGAAGCAAGAGGACCTCAAACACGAAATGCTGTTCACAGAAGAGCGGTTCTAGATAAAGATGCTCAAATGAAACCTGTAAATGGTGAATCAACTTCTGAGGTATGCTGCTAAATTCTAGAAAAAGAGTGGTAATAATTGAATAATTTATTTTTAATACAAATTGGTTTATAACATTGATTAATTTATTGTTGGATATTATTTATACTTATGTTTATGGTCCTTTGCTTTTTTTTTTTTTTTTTTTGATAAAAACCCGTGTTGAGCCTTCTTCATATATTAGTTAGTTGATGATGGCTTTTATTTTACTGGTTTGGATTAGAACAACGATATTTTCAGTTAATGTGTCTTCTGTAGCATATTAAACATGAGTGGTGATTTTTATTGCTTAAGCCCTTTCTATTGTTTGACATTATTTTCCCTCTATACCTTTATGGTATAGGATGAAGAATTGGACATATCTCCTGTTGAAATTGATGAAGCTTTGGTGATTGAAGATGATGATATTTCTGATGATGAGGATGAAGACCACGAAGATGTATGTTTCTACTTCTGCTAGGATGTCATCTCCTTGTTGTTTGTGGTTATCCTGTATTCATATCTCATTAATGATTTAAATGTTCAGGTTCAGGGAATGCCTTTGATTTTTCTTCAGATTCAATTTGGCTTTTAATCTGCTAGATTTCTGCATTTATTTGTATTTTGTCATTGTATTTACTTCCATTGTTATCATTCTTCTATCTTCAAAGACTTCAGCAAACATAAATTTCATTATTTATTTTTGTTATAGAGTCTATCAATCACATCATGAGGATTAGTTGTAAGATTGTGATCTAGATTGTAAGATTGCATAATCTTGCTGCCACATTCCTTTCTGTATCACACTTTTATTCTTAAGCGAGTTGAATTGTTAGGAGATTTCAAGATCACTGAACTGGTGAGACTGTGGAATCTTGTGAGTGTGAATAATAAATCTGTCAATTCCAAGTTATTTTTGTAGTATTTTCTTTTGTTGACGTCTTGTTGTGTTATATTTCAACTTTAGCAAACCTTGTGTATTTATCTGTGATGACATGTTGTCATCTGTATTTTTCTATATTTTCTATGCATACATCCACACATAATTTCGGTAGGATCATATAATCTGCATTTTTACGAGCTCGCAACTGCACTTCCAATCTTAGGTAGGATCTCGATCTTGACAACATCCTAGACTAGAAACTGCATTATCTTATTGGATCCATTCTTGCAATTGTAATTTCCAAGATTGGATACTGTGATTTGGTTTAGCCGATCTGTTCTAGATATTGAAATTTATGAAACCAAAATGGTATTTTTGTTTCTTATATATATATATATATATATATATATATATATATATATATTAATAATCACTGGTTATAATTAATTATTGATTCGATGACTGGATGCTATCATTTGATTCTGCTGCAACATCCTAGCAATTGAATTTATCTAACAGAAATGATATTATTTCACTAACCATCATTTAATGCATCATCTACTTGTTTTATTTATTTTTGTGCAGGTGTTGAGGGATGATTCTCTTCCTGTCTGCTTGCCTGACAAAGTACATGATGTTAAATTGGGTGACTCAGCTGAGGAGAGTACTGTTGCTCCAGCAACAAGTGATAGCCAGACTAATGCAGCCTCAGGTTCCAGCAGCAAAGCTGGTACAGCCAGGGGATCTGACTCTGCTGATTTTAGGAGTGGGTATTCATCTAGCTCAAGGGGTGCAATGTCATTTGCTGCTGCTGCTATGGCTGGACTTGGATATGCTAATAGCAGAGGTTTCAGGGGTGGCAGAGATAGGCATGGGCGCCTGTTGTTTGGTGCTTCTAATGATCCTCCAAAATTGATTTTTACTGCTGCTGGGAAGCAGCTTCATAGGAATTTGACTATATACCAGGCAATTCAAAAACAACTTGTGCTTGATGAAGATGATGATGAGAGATTTGCTGGCAGTGACTATGTATCCAGTGACGGAAGCAGTCTGTGGGGTGATATTTACACCATCACTTATCAAAGAGCAGAAAACCAGACAGATAAGGCATCTACTGGAGGATCAAGTTCAAATACTTCAAAACCCTCAAAATCTGGCTCTGGCCCAAATTCTAGCCCAGAAACTAAATTGCATCAAACATCTATTTTAGACAGTATACTGCAGGGAGAATTGCCGTGTGATCTAGAGAAATCTAATCCCACCTACAATATTTTGGCACTCCTGCGTGTACTGGAGGGTTTGAACCAGCTTGCACCTCGTTTGAGAGCTCAAATAGTTTCTGATAGCTTTGCTGAGGGAAAAATCTCGAATTTTGATCAGCTAAGTGTTACAACTGGAGCTAAGGTTGTTCCAGAGGAATTTGTAAGTGGTAAGCTTACTCCAAAATTGGCTAGGCAAATACAAGACGCACTCGCACTATGCAGTGGTAGTCTTCCCTTATGGTGTTACCAGTTGACTAAAGCATGCCCTTTCTTGTTTCCTTTTGAGACTCGACGACAGTACTTCTATTCTACTGCATTTGGGTTATCTCGAGCATTGAATCGTCTTCAGCAGCAGCAAGGTGCTGATGGTCATGGGTCAAGTACTGAGAGAGAGGTGAGAGTAGGGAGATTACAGCGACAAAAGGTTCGTGTCTCTCGTAATCGTGTCTTGGATTCTGCTGCTAAAGTTATGGAGATGTATTCTAGCCAAAAAGCTGTACTCGAAGTAGAATATTTTGGTGAGGTTGGCACTGGCCTGGGCCCAACCCTGGAGTTTTATACAATCTTAAGTCATGATTTGCAAAAGGTTGGATTGCAAATGTGGAGATCTCATTCTTCAAATAAACATGAAATGGAAGTTGATGGAGATGAAAACAAAAAGGATAGTGTAGGGTCTGGGCCTGATTTGGCTGGAGATGGAGAACTTGTTCAAGCTCCTCTGGGTTTGTTTCCTCGGCCTTGGCCTACAAATTCTGATGCATCAGAGGGTAGCCAGTTTTCGAAAGTCATTGAGTATTTTCGGCTGCTGGGTCGTGTTATGGCAAAAGCTCTTCAAGATGGACGACTATTGGATCTGCCATTGTCAGTTGCATTTTTTAAGCTTGTTCTTGGTCAAGTATGTTATTGTCCAATATTTGTTGTTTGAACCATTTTCATGTTTATAGTTAACCTGAAGGTTAACTTATTCTATTGTATGTTTCTAATCATCATTTTGTTGTAGGATCTTGATTTGCATGACATTCTGTTCATTGATGCGGAGCTTGGGAAGACTTTGCAAGAGTTGAATGCCCTTGTTAGTCGGAAACATTACATAGAATCTACTGGTGGTAGCTATACTGATACACATTTTAACTTACATTTTCATGGTGCCCCAGTTGAAGATCTTTGCTTAGATTTTACTCTTCCTGGTTATCCTGATTACACCTTGAAACCTGGAGATGAAACTGTATGGAGTTAAACACTGAATTAGTTCATAGATCTTGGTTCTTGTGTCATAAAAAAAATTATTTAACTTACTCTCAAATTATTAGGTTGATATCAACAATTTGGAGGAGTACATGTCCTTGGTGATTGATGCAACAGTCAAGACGGGAATAATGCGGCAAATAGAAGCATTTAGAGCAGGCTTTAATCAGGTTCCATGGTTGTCTTAATTATTTAATTTAACTTAAATTTGTACATTGTTGGTGTGGAGTATGTTATTTTTCAAAAAGGTGTTGCCCCCTACCCTTCCCAACGGAATGGAAATATTAACATCGTGACCTTCTTTATATATCTTCCCATAATTGTCTTCCACTGCATCCTTGAGGATTTTGTTTTTATCCGTGTGCAACGATATTATTTGATCCATGTATCTGACATCACTTAGTGGGATAAAACTATTGTAGTTGTTCTAGATTAGAATGAGTTGATGCATGAAACTAATTTGATGGCAATGCATTGAAATTATTGTGTCCTGTTATACACTAAAGTTATTTGATGTTCTATTCTTGTCTTAACGATGCAGTAGGTGCCTTAATTTCATGCTTGAATATTCCATCAGGGACATTATAAAATATATGCTCCTGTTCTCTTACTTATTTGGCTCCCAATCCCCAACCCTACTTTTTACTGCACACAATTGCAATGTTTGGTTATTTAATGTAAAAGTTTGGCATTATTCTTTATATGAATTGGGTGGGTAGTTATGGTTCTGCTAGTCTCTCTTGTGGATCAAAGGAAGAGGGTATTGATGAGGATTTTAATGCAGGTTTTTAACATCTCATCTTTACAAATTTTTACTCCTCAAGAACTAGACTATTTGCTTTGTGGCCGCAGGGAGTTGTGGGAGGTATTTTTGCCCAAATTTTCCGCTGCTTTTACTAGTGGTTAAAATATTAGAACAAAGCATTAAAAATCTTCTTTTTTTTTTTGTAAAAACTGTTACTGCAGGCTGAGACACTTGCTGATCATATAAAATTCGACCATGGGTACAATGCAAAGAGCCATCCTATTGTTAATGTATGTTTCCACTTAATTTTAAGGAATATGATGTATTCTGGAAGATTATAGCTAGTTATATGTGATGCTTTTTTTGCTGGATCTTATTTTCAGTTGCTTGAAATTATGGGGGAATTCACTCCGGAGCAGCAGCGTGCCTTCTGTCAATTTGTTACTGGTGCACCTAGGCTGCCACCTGGTGGGCTGGCAGTTCTAAATCCGAAACTAACGATTGTGAGAAAGGTACCTGAAAATGTGATATCATGATTGATTCATCCTGTACTTCATATTTCTTTTTTGTATATAAGTTTATTTGTTATATATACATGTTAATATTTGTTGTTATTGTTGGATTCATGCCTTTTTTTTTTTTGTGTCGGTGCAGCTTTCGTCAACTGCGGTTAATACCTCAGCAAACGGGAATGGACCTTCAGAAACCGCGGATGATGACTTGCCTAGTGTGATGACGTGCGCTAATTACCTGAAACTACCCCCTTACTCTACCAAGGTACTGCGATTAAAGCGTACGATAAATTATTTTACGACAGTGTCTTCTCAATGTTTGGGGGAAAATTGTATTTAAGTTTCTATTGCTTTTATTCTTCAAAATGTGGTGCAGTGAAAATGGTATCTAAATGACATAGTTGTCTCATAAAACTGGTTTTATCTTCACGTCCATGTTTGGTTGGGATTAGTTTTTGGAGAAGTTGAATTGCCCATTTTTTTTAACGCCCTTCAAGAAACCTGGAAAAATCAAGCATGCTCATTAATTTTGCTTATTGAGTCTTTGGTTGTTGATCTATGATGTCCAATTTTATACAGGAAGTTATGTACAAGAAGCTACTCTATGCAATCAATGAAGGCCAGGGATCCTTTGATTTATCATGAGTATCTGGAACTAACCAACCTTACCCTGTATGTTAATAGATGGATCAGGGGTTATTGACTTTATTCTTGAGGCTCAGTTAAGTTTTGATGTGCTTTCCTCCTCGCATCTCGAATAATAGTCTCATATTCCGTGCTCATTGCAAATTGCAAGGTTGTGGAGTAGTTTCAGGTGAGTTGACCTTTTCTGTCAATAAGGATGTTTCTCTCTGTTCTTTTATAGTATGATGAGGTACATCGTATTTTCTACGCTGCAGCACATTAATATTTGTTACTTTATACAGGCTGATTCTTCCCGTTTATTTTTGACAAACTAATAAGTATTTCTCCTATAAATTGCAGTCAAATCGGGTCGCCATATTTTCAAAGTGTAGGGTAATTTACGGAGCTCTTATTTAATTTTACCTGTTAGAACTTGTAAATAAAATAGCCATGATGAAATTTTGATTTTTTTTTTCTATTTTAAAGTTTTTCATTATTCTGTTTGTAAGTCCAATTATTCGCAATTAGCATGTACGAGGAAATGGTAAAGGGAAGAGAAATAATTTAAAATATTATGCTTTATCATTACTCTTGGATCTGTTATTTGGAGTTCTATTGTAGAATTTTTAACTGGTCATCACGTGTATTTGAAGCATTATATTATAGAATGACTTTCCTACCTTTGCACTTTCAACTTTTTATGCATTAATCTGGATTGATTTTTTGAAAATGTGAATCTCATTTTTTGGTGGAAACATATTTTTGTATTATGTTTTTTAATGTGTGATGCTAAATATTTATAATTTTAAATATGTCGGATTTGTATTGAAAACATGTTTAATACATGATTTACCAGTTAAATGATTGAAAAGTGTTGATTTTTAGGACCCGATCATCGTTTTAAATTGACAATCTGATTTTAAAAAGTTTAAACATCAAATAAAACAAAAGCTTTAATTTCTTTTAGTAATTTTTGTACATTGAATAGTGAACTAATTAAATTTAACGGGTTTTATTATTACATTGATTTTTCGTTTATTACTTCAATTTAATGATAGCACACGTTAGTTATGTTTCTGATAATATGTGATTTTATGTGTCGACTATTTAAATTCTTGAAAATTATAAATTTATAACACTGATAATGTATGGACTAATTGATAAGGAATTTTAACATAATTTGTAGGTTGTTTTTATTCTTCTTACGTTGTATATTGTCCAAATTTATTTCATTGGTTATTAAATTCAAGTTAACTTTACAAAATTATGAAACACATTTAAAATAATAATAATTAAGTTAATCAAAAGAAAAATGTATGTAATTGATTTCGTGAGAGTGTATTTATGGGAGACAGTTAGTTGTGAACTGCTAAAATCATTATAAACAGCAGTTTTTAAAATAACGAATGGTTATTCATGATTTTCAGCGTAAACTACTAAGGGAGCAACTTGTTTTTTACTTGAAAAAGATAAAGGAAGAATTTATGATATTATATAATTTTTAAGTAAATTGTTGATTTTATTTTCTATAATTGTTTTTAATAAATTAAAAAAAATTATTTATTTATTTGTATAAATTGTTTGATGAAATAATTATTAAAAAAATTAAGTATTTATTATGTTATAATAAGATTTTTTTTAATAAAAAATTATTTAAAATAATTATACTTTATTTAAATATTTCGATAAATAATTTCTATTGAAAATGTTTTAATATTTTTAAATTTAGCTTTACTTTTAAAATTGAATTGAATAATTTATATATATTTTTATGTTTATATTTAATCAAATTTTAAAAAAAATTATCCTATTAATTACGTACGAAGTGGTAAATTTGACATGCTTTATGAGAACTACGATGTTATTGGAAGCATAATTTAGTGTTCTCATAAAATTAAAATAAAATTCGCTTATTATAAAAGACTCTCGATGTTTCGTTTAAAATCAATTGACATATCTCTAGTTATATTTATTTAGTAATTTAAAATTAATTACGTAATTTTTAATCTAAAAGTATTAAATCTAAAAGAATGTTTTTTTAATCATTTTTACTTAATAACAAAAATATGTGTTGTTAGTCTTTTATTTTAATTGTTTTAATCTATATAAATACTAGCGTTGCAGGTATTAAACTGAATATTTTTTTAGATTAAAGTATGTATTTCACATTTTTTTAATCTATATAAACTGAATAAAAAATTAATTTTAATTTTTTATAAATAAATATTTATAATTTATAATTATTATTATTATTATTATTATTATTTATATATATGTTTTAATATGTTATATTTATATTAAAATATGTATATTAAAAATATTTTTTATATGGATATAAAATATTTATAATAATATTATTATTATATTTAATTATATATATATATATAAGTTAATTATTTTTTAAGTTATAATTTAATATATATATATATATATAATTTAAAAAGATATTTAATAAAATATTTTTTATTTAATTATTTTAAAGGATAAAATTTTTAATTATTAATTTTTTATTTTTTATAATATAATTATTTTATTGAAATAAAATTTGATATATAATAAATAAAAATAATAACATAAAAAATGATATAATAAAATCTAATCAAAATAAATTAAAAATAAAATAATATTAAATTTATATATAATATTAAGAAAAAGATAAAAGAAGAAAAATAATTAACTTTAAATTTTAATAGATTGGTTAGAAAAATTGAAAAAATTAAATTGATTGAAAAAATTAAAAATAATATGTAAATAAATATAAAGTAAGAAAAAAAGAATAATATAATGAATTATATAATATAAAAAATAACAAAATAATAAAATAATAAACAAAATATATGTAGAAGAAAATGTAAAAATAGTAAAATATAAAAAAAATTATAATAAACAAATAAAAATATTAATAATTTAAAAATTAAATTCAAATATAAAATTAGAATAAAGATTGTATTACTTATGTTATCTCGACTTCTTTTTTTTTTAATGAAGAAAATTTGAATCCACCCCATTTTCCAATCAAAGAAAACAAAAAATGAATGAATCCGAGGATGAGTTAAATTATCATCTATCAAAATCTTGTTTTACTGATTAAAATTGTAAGAATGAGTTTCGCTAATTTTTCTTTTTATAGTTTTAAGGATAATTTTTTTTTCATTCTTTCAAAAAATTACGGAATACTTTCAGTGAAATTTTTAATGAAAAAATCATTAGTATCAGGAAGAAAAAAGTCAATCAATTCAGTTCCTTTTAAATTAACTTGATTCTTAAAATGTATTAATTGATTTATTAGGACTAAAATAATTAATTTCACTGGAAATATAATCCCTTTTTAATTTTTTTTATGATCAAAACATTTTACTATAACTAATAATTATTATTTTCTTGTTCATAATTTTTAATCATTTAATCAATTTTATAATAGTAAAAAAAAATACTAGACCTCAAATTTAGGTATAAAAATACTAAATTCATATTTAATTTTTCTATCAACTTTAGTAAAATGAAAAGTTGTAATTAGATGTTAAGTTTAACTATAAAAAGAAACTAACAACTCTTTTTTCTTTAAGTTGATCAAAATAATAATTTATAAGTAAGAGGATTAAAGACAAATTTTTGATAAAATCATAGAAATAAAAAATATATTTTGATTTATTATGAAATTATATTATCTTTGAAATTAGATAGAATTGAAATGGTTAATAATTATTTTGAAAATTGATTCAAATGAACTAATTAAATTAGTCTTATAGAGGGTGAATTTAAAAATTAGTTTGTTATTTTTAAATAATCCAATTTTAATAAAATCAATATAAAATTGAAAATTTTAGAACATAATAAAAAAAAAACAATTAAGTTTTTTTCAAATTATTTTTTTTAATGTATATTTTTTTAGAAAATATAACATATTTCAATTTTTTTTACTTTTAACTTTAAATCATAACTATTTTGTTATTTTTAATCTTTAACTATTATTCCTCCTATACTCTAATATTAATATATTTTGATATTTTTAACATGAGAATAATAATAACTTTTACTATTTTTTGAAATATTATTATTACTCAACTTATTATATTATAAAAAATTATTTTATCAAATTTGATTAAATATTAATCAAACCTTTCAACTATAAATATATGTTTTTACCTATTCAATATCCAATTATTTTAAAATTTTGAATTTATACATATTAAACAGGAATTCATCTGATATATGTTAGATATTGTTTAGATATTATTTGATATTGTTAAGATATTGTTAGATATTGGTAACCACAATATCAAACAATATCTTCTGTTTATTCTGTTACTTTCAGTTACTCTTTTAGTTGTATCTCTCTACTATAAATATATCACCCTATGTGTGATTTATACACAAGGGAAATTAATTCCAAACCCTATTTTCTCTATATTCAACATGGTATCTAGAGCTTAAGGTTATCTTGAATTTTTTTTTCCGCCTTTTATCCACTGTTGGAGCCGCCCCACCGCTGCTAGAGGCGCCCCACCGCTGCTGGTAAGCCGATCCTCCACATCGAAAAGAATTATCTTTGTCATTGAATTTTATTTGGTAGTGTGAAAGTGCATGTTTAGGAAAGTTCGGCAAGGAAAGACTTGGTATTTAAGTGTGTCCATTAGTGACCCACCTCTCTTTCCTAGGAACTTACCTGGTGTACTAGTTCACGTTACTGTCACCGCTGCCGCTGGAGCAGTCACTGGGTCCGCCGCTGTCGGAGAATTCACCGGAGTTTCAATTTTTTTACCGGTGACATATGATTTTGCTTGTCTCGGTCAGTGACCACCGTGCCATTGAGATCACCACTATCGGAGTTGGTCGTCCCATTGTCTCCTGCACCGTTTAGTCTTGGTGAACTTATTTTTAGTATTCTCATTTTGGATTTGTGCTTCGTGGGTTTATTGGATTACTTTGGATTATTTTAGGGTTTGTTCTCCCGCTCTTCATGACTTCTTCCACTATTTCCAATTTTGTTAACGATTCATTTGTGTTTACATCCCATCGTG